TGTTCAGAAACCCAAAAGGAAACAAGTGGCTGGACCGTCCAACTTAGGATAGGCCCAACCCAAAAAGATCATACATTCAGCCCAACAAACATAAATAAAACACAGCACTAAACCCACTCAACTTAGAGGGATTCAGCCTTGGGTTGACCCGGTCAAACACATGCAAAACACCTTTCTCCCACCTTCCCCCCAATTCCTTTGTCTGAATTCACTCAAAATATCTGAACTCTTATATATATACTTGTTTATTTAACCTTTCACAAGGCATGTCCTGACATACATAGCAAAATAAAAAGTAATAACCTGTCATAGTTATATTCAGATACCCAATGGAAATTATAGTTAGGGGAGGGGGTCACACGCGTCGAACGGAAGTTATACCTGAAGTTCCCTGCCTCCAGTACCCCGCCTGGGCTCCGGCAGAGCTCCCGCAATCGGTGGGTGGACCTCCCACAAGGTCTTGCTGCAGACCTACGGGTTGCAATCCCGCCTGCTGCCTTCCTCTCGTAACCTCAGACTAGACTTAAGAGTAGGAAGGATAAAAGTAGAAAGGTTACTCTCGAGAAACAAGAGGGGTGCGCTTGGACTCACGGGAGAGGGCCTTGGAATCTTGAGTCTCCTGAGGGCCCCGCAATGATGGCCAAATATAGTAGAGACAGTCCGATCACGGCCAGAACTCCGAATAACTGCCCCCTGACAACTCTCTAAATCGCAGCAGCGACCCCGTCGCAAGGAGGAATAGCAACGGTGCACAACAAGGCGACCCTGCAGCAGCCCCTCAAAGCACAACAACACAGCCCATGTGTTGTGGCAGCCCCATCCAGCGGCAGTGGTAGTCGCTGTAACAGCCCCAACAGGATTGCTGCAGCAACAACGAAGCCCCACTTTAGACAGATGTACAGCCGTACTCCAACTGCGGCCTACACGGCACTGACAACTTCCCTCAACAGTAGCAACGGACTACACCTGTAGTAAGTATAGCACCAGCAGCCACAGTCGCACACCAACTGCATGCGCAGATTGCACAACAATAATTGATGTCACAGCAGCTGTAACACGGTCACCGGGGCAGCAGCCCGTTTTGAGCACCGTCCAACAACAGCGTGCCGCGCCTCCAGAGATCTGTCGATACCGCCTTTCAACCAACAGTGGCCCACCAGCAGTCCAGCACACAGCATTTCACTGTCCGCAAAAATAGTCCGCTGCACCAGCAGCTAAGCGCAGTTATCGAACAGGGCGACCATGCTCAGTCCCTATATCGCAGCTGTCGTGGGATGCAAAACAACAATGCTGATACGCACAACATCTGTACTGGATTCGGCTATAACGACCTGGTGTTCAGTAGCAGCTAGGAGTTTATAGCGACATGCAGAGTGTCTAACCAGCTGTCGTGTCAGCGAAGGAGCAAAAGTATCGATCTGGAACTAATAACCCTGTTGTCAAAACGACCTATTGCAGCTTGGAGTCTACTGCAATGACCTGAAGCCTTCCACCATGGCCATAGGATGCAGTGTCCAGATCGACGACGTGAGAACGTACTTCGCTCGTCTCCTACTCGCATTCCTCGTAGCCCCTAATAACTTGAATACACTTGGTCGTTCATAAGACCAGGTTCCGTAAAGAACCGAAATTTGAACTGCAGAGATGGTAACCTCGAACTCACGAAACTCTATTCCACCCCTCACCAAATGCACCAAATGAGTATGTATATTTTGCTAAAAAGCGGGGAGATACCTCTACCCCGTTAGAATACCCGTTGTAGCAACCGTCGACCGCCTCCAACTCCACTTGACCGAACGAGGTGAGTTCCTCTACCTCTCAATCATGTTCCCTTCTCCCTTGCGCCTCACTGTTTTTACCTCCAACTGGATAAGCAAAAAAATTCGGAATGAATCTTCCGCTAGAATTTGGGAATCTACACTACTCTTACACTGTTCTTTGTTCACACATGCAGAGAGGTAGCGTAGCTTGGCTTTCGGCTTATCTTGCATCGCTGGTTCGCGGTGAGTGCCCCTCTCTCTCTCTCTCTCTCTCTCTCTCTCTCTCTCTCTCTCTCTCTCTCTCTCTCTCTCTCTCTCTCTCTCTTATCCCAATCGCCCGCTTAGACGACGAGCTTCGACAATGACGAAGCGGCTCAGCCTCGCTACTTCACCAGAAGCACAGGATGGGAATGAACCTTTCGCCAAAAGGGTGGAAAGATACACTTTATTATTATTTTTATTTTCCACTTTATTATTATTTTTATTTTCTCTCCTCGATACTTCTACCCAATACATCTCCTCCTCCTCGTGGTCTCCAATCTTGGATTTCCCCTCTTCTTCTGTGTCACCTTCTTCTTCTTTCTAACTTCCTATCCTCTCTAAGTGACACGCGCGCCTGCTCTCCGCGTTTTTCAGAAGCACAAAGCAAGGATGCACCTCGCGCTGGTTCACGACTGAATGCCCTCATGCCGCTCTCGCTCCCGCATGGCCAACTTCTAGGAGGTAAGTTATCCCTCCTTTCTTCCCCCCTTTTTTTTCCTCTCCCTACGCTTTCTGGCATACAAACGCGCTTGGTCGTTTACGCGGCCAGGTCCATTCGCGGTCACGGTTCAAAGATCCTAAGTCGAGGAATGACCTTGACGACGATGCTGCTGGCAAGTAGCAAGGCGGACCACACGGTCGCGATCGGGAGCACGGTCTACGGAGGCAAAACGCCATCAGCATGAAGAACCAGGCCGGCTTTACGAAGATGGCAGGCGCAGGGACGATGAGGAGCGACGCAATCTCATTTATCGCACGGGCGCGCACCCTGAAGTTGTGCCCTTTGACCAGACTCCGACGGTAAGCACAGTTACTCCATGATGACTACTCGCGGCACGGGGTCAAAATCCTGAAGTGACCTCGCTCCGCCATTTGCCAATGTACAGAAATGGGAATGAACCCTCCTCGAGATTGTGGGGAGATGCAATCTCCTGCCTTCAATTTGGCACTCCCTACGATAGCTCTTGTACATCTGACGGTCCCCTTCGTGGATAGCCTCCGACCCCACACCTTGTCTCGTACTATCGGCAGAATGTACAAAATCGATAGGACCCTTCCTCCAGCATGGGAAGATACACCTCAAAACTCTGAGTGAACCTTCCTCCAGACTGGCAAGGTGTATTGCAGCAACCTGGCACCATAGCCCGATCGCCGATCCCTTCCATTTATGCGAGACGAGTGCTACCGTGCTCCTCCTCCCTCCTCTACTCCATCTTCGTCATCTCCCTGACTGCCTTCCTTCTCGATGGCGCCAACGACTTCACTCGTAGCGTGAGGCCCTCGACAAAATTAGTCAGACGACGTTGCTATGGCAACGTTGCAGACTACAAAAAAGGGAAGTCGGGCTCTTCTCGTTTTATATGTGTCATCCTTGCGCAGGGGCCATGCTAATCTTCTCTGTATCGTTCCAATTTTAACAGATGTCCCGAAGGACCGGCCGAATATCGGCCTCGAGACCTCACCTCTGAGCTGACCGGGCCCTTGGCCATTCGAACATATTTGGTTTTACTCACTGAGTTCCCTCGTCCGGGTCCGAACACAGGTGTGCCTCTCCACAGTTCACGGGTGTATCCACCGAGCAAGGCTCGCTGGTTCACGGCCGGTCCTGAGACTGGTACCGGACCACGTCCCGTAATGGGACTTAAATAATAAATAAGAAAAATAAAAATGAAATAAAAAAGAATTTTAGAAAAATTAGGAGAAAACGGAGTAGGGGGAGGGGAACCGTCGGTACTTGGTCCTGCCTCGCGGGCCCGCTGCCGGACTCCCCGACAAAACCAAGGGGGATGGTCCCGTGGGACCCTCCGCTCTCCTGCGCTCCTTCCCTCCTCTGCTGTCGACTGCTGGTCTCGATCCCAGGATCCGCATGCTGGTAGTTCGGTGCCGTAACCAATAGGGCTAAGCCCAAGCCTGGTTGTAGCAGGCGCAATTCTCTATATAAAGAGTAACTGCTGCCGGCCCGGACCCGCAGAAACGCGTCAAGGCCTTAGCTTGACTTATCACCTGAGCCTGTGGCCCCGTATACACACACTCCCTGTCGGGAGGGCAAGTTATCGCTCGGCTCACCGCGCATGTAGCCCTGCGCGCTGCGGTCAATGCCTGGGCTCCCCTATTCCGCCATATCCTTCAAAGGGTTGCCCGTTTACCGCCTTTGGGCCAACAAAACCCCGACTTTTACTCATATCGTCCCCGGCCCGTGCCATCCTAGCTAAAGTTGTCACGGCTTCTACTACCGGCAATGCACGGTCGCACTTAGTGCTCGCGCACTCCTCATAATGCGACCCCGGAAAGCCGTCTTTCAGTGAGTCAAACAAAATCCTCCTCTAGTTGCAGTCTCTCCTGGTCAACTTTGCGCTGCCCGTAACTTCGTCCGTGCGTGCGCGGTTGCGACTTTATCCAAGATTCTAACCTAGCACTTACTTGTTCCACCGGCGTCTCATAGGTTACATTGGTCCATTACTTGGCCAGGCTAACGCGTGCCCACAAAGTGCACGCTCACACACTCTCTAATCAACTCAGAAACATGTGCCAATCCCAATCTTTTGAGAATTGGTTGTGGCCGCACAGAGATGGGACACGCCCCTAGATATCATCAAGGAGCATACTTCCTGTAAGCTGCAAAAATGTGCCCAAATACCCTTCTAAGGGTATTCGGGCCGACAACGGGTTACTGCAATTCAGTCTATGAACAAAACTCAGAAATCAGCTGTGTGCTTCAGTCCATGTTTCGTTGGGGAAATCACAGATCTGTTATTCACCCATGCCTGCTTTCAACTTTTCACCAGTTTATTACAATTCCAGTTCAGCAAGATATTAGATTGCCTCTTGCTGGCTGCGTTCATCAACTAGGGGCATTCACGCCTGGAAAGTCAGCAAAGAAAACTGTGCATGTCAGCGAAAGACTGAGGGACAAGCAAAGATAAGATAGTGCAGAAGACCTTGGGCTTCACAACCATGCAGAGACAGGCGCAACCATACCTCAACTCAATTGAGAAGTGCTGGCTTGATGGGATGAAGATCTGGAATACCAAGTACGGTTGCTGAAGCAGAAGACCTGTCATGCACAAAAGAAAGGGGGTGTGAAAACATTCAGACATCTTTCTCTCTGTCTAAGACCCACAGATTGAGCCTGTGAAACCACGAATAATGTGTGCAATGGCAGATCTTAACCGCCTAGCACTTGACATACTATGTATAAACTTTACCATTAATGAGGAGACTAGTGAAGACCTCTCAGCTTCTTGCATGAAGGCCAATCAAAGCCTTGTGAATGGCGCAATGCAATAGTTTTCCCCCCACCGCCCAGACGGATTCCCTCTGCAGCATGGAGCTATCAAGGCACGATCATAGTTCTTCAGGCATATCAACATATGCACATGCTGTTAAAAAGGAAACCGAAACGAACGCAGCAAACGGATGCGTCCATCGAGTCACATCCTCCGGAAAATCTTGCAAAAACATGAACAATCCCTGATGAAAGATGTTCACAGATGGATGGACGGACCAATGGATGAAAAGACACCCATTTCCTTACTCTTCTTCTCCTCCTCTTCATTTGATCTCTCTCTCTCTCTCTCTCTCTCTCTCTCTCTCTCTCTCTCTCTCTCTGTGTGTGTGTGTGTGTGTGTGTGTGTGTGTGTGTGTGTGTTTTAGATTTTCCCCACAACAGCCCCAATTCCACCCAGGTGAATAGATTCAGAATCAAAGCAGTCTTTGTCCTATTGCAGACAACGAGAGCATTTGAGATGTCCAACATATTAAAGCAATTTTATAATTAGACAGTTTTTTGGTTGTCCTTTGGGTACCCCTTTCATTGTTCTTACAGCTCCCCTTTTACTGTGCCTCTTACGCACAAGGCTGCCCACGTTGATTGTGGTTGAGCGGCAGCTGCCCACATCCCCGTGTGCCTTCACGACCCACTTGCACGTTGTTTCAGGAGGCAGAGTAAAAGGAAAGGTATGTGTGTGTGTGTGTGTGTGCGTGTGCGTCTGTGTCTGTGTGTGTCTGTGTTTTTTAGGTTTTCCCCACAACAGCCTCAATTCCACCCAGGTGAATAGATTCAGAATCAAAGCAGTCATTGTCCTATTGCAGACAACGAGAGCATTTGAGATGTCCAACAGTGTTGCACACCCCGACCGTGGGCGACCCTTGACTGGTCGGCTGGTCGGCACCTACTGGTCGGGGGTTGTCGGCACCCCGCCAAAAAAAAATAATATATACGTATATAATATATACATATCGTCACAAACATATTTTGGGTCCAGAACCCGTAACAACCCCACGAACACCCCCATACCAACCCCAAATACCCCATAC